TTTCAGTACGCCTGTACTAAAACCACCGTCTTCCTCATTGTCTTGACTGAATTTCAATTGGCCAACCATCATTTATCGGCTTGATATGAAGTTTTCCGTGGATGATAATAAAACCTGAGGATAACACACTTTGAGAAATCGATGAGTTTTATATTTCATGATTTCCACAAAACTGGACGTTGAACTGTCATATAGAACGTATTCTATTCTGGTAGTCACATTGAATGAGCAATGAGTAGAAGTCTTTAAATGTACAAATTTCTTGTATCTCATATAAATTTCAAACTGAACATACATGCTGCTTATAAATCAGGAAAAAATCTCATTGGGTTCTTTATTTAAAACAGAAAACATATTTAAACACCGTCCATCTTTAAAATTGAGCATATAATGCATACATAAAGATTTTTTTTCGCATTGCAATGTCTTATTGTAATAAGTGTAAGAGTAAAGAAAAATATTATGTATAGGTATGCTTTGATGTGTGTAATAATTTTATTACATGGAAAAAGTTTAAATTGTTATGCAATTCTCACTGCCGCGTTTGATGAATACTTGGCAAGAATGTCATGCAGATCAAACAGTTGGGAAGAAATATTGTCAAACTGCATTATAAAATAAATATCCTGGGAGTTTTCTTAGTATTCCCAGTCAACTTAGCTTCCAATTGATATAACAACACATATATTCAACATTTAAGAACAAAGTAAAAAAGAACATGACTGATGATTTGTTTTCTAGATTGGGAATGCCTGTTTACATAGCATTTGTTTGAGGGATTACTGAAATCAAGGAAAGGATTATTTTTATGATTATTAAAACCGTTTCTACATGCATGCTCTAAACAGTAAAAAAATCTTTTATTTTCAGTTGGAATTTGAATTATCAAAAGATATAACAAATTATCAATTTGTTAAAACAGATTAGTAATTTGATTAAACAAATTAATACTAGTAATTTGTTTTATCAATTTGATAAAACAATTTATCAATTTGTTATAACAAATTACTAATTTGTTATAAAAAACTCTATGCATTTGAGACTTTATCAACGTTTACCCAAAAGTGTACTATGTTCATTCAAATTTTATCATTGCACACTTGCGCATGTGAATGCATGTGCGTAATGACCATATTATATTGTCTACACAATCTATATATTTTAATATGCTAAATATTAAAGTATTTAATCCAAAAGTATAAAAAAAAAAAGCCGCTCATTCAAGTGTATTTTTAATTTTACCCATTACACGTGCACGCAAGTGCATACATGAGCATGGTGACCATACCTTCTTGTATAAGTCCAATACATCTATCTATGTTCTAAATCTCACCCCGTTTGGTTCAAAACCAAGTCTTATTTGTGAGTTATAGCTGTTTAACTCTCTCTCTCTCTCTCTCTCTCAGATTGCAGCACACGTACACGCACATGCATGCATGCATGTGCATGGTGATCATGCCTTCTTGTAGAAGTCCATTATATATCTCTATGCTCCAAATCCAATCATGTTTGGTTGAAAACCAAGGGAGTTAAAGCTGTTTAAAGTTTCAGCCAATCAGATTGCAGCGCACGTAACGCACGTGTATGCATGTGCATGGAAAAACCATACCTTCTTGTAGAAGTCCATTATATCTATCTATGTTCCAAATCCCATCCTGTTTGGTTGAAAACCGAGGTAAAATTATAGCTATTTAAAGTTTCAGCCAATCAGATTGCAGTGCACGTGCATACACATTTTTTCATGATAATTGCTATATATCTTGTTGTAAGATATCGTAATACATGACTATGTTCAAAATTTCAAAGGATTTCGTCAAAAAACAAGAAAGATATTGAGACTTTAGTTTCAGCCAATCAGAGCAAAGCGCACGTGCATGCGCGTTTTATCAAATTACTAATTTTTTTTGACCATGTCATTTGTTTATGCTACTAATATATCATTAAAATATGAGTTTCAACGCATTTCATCAAAAATTGAGAAATTTGTCTATATCAATTATATTGATCATTTCTTGTGTTGCACGTGCGCGCTCTTGCAAGCATTTGCGCGCAAAATGACCTTGACTAGGCAAATCTACATAACATGTCTACTAACCCTAAAAAGGTTTTATACATCGGATGAACAGTTTACAAGATCATTCCAGGACAAAAAAGTACCCAGGAAGAAGAAGAAGAAAAATAATAATAATAAGAAACAGAGTAAAAACAATATGTTCCCCAACTTCGTTTGGGGAACACAAATAATTTCTTGCTAATTGTTTGCAATAACACCGCATAGGAGTATTCGTATACAGAGCAAGAGAAGATGACATGGCGGTGTTGTTTTTTATTATTTCTACTTCTTTTCATGTCAGGCATGTTAGAAAAAAGACAATCCTTATCGGTATTTGTAAATAATTACTTGAATGAATAAAGCACCACTTAGATATTTTTGTTAGCATAATGAACGCATTCTCTTCTATATTTGACACCTTAAGTAGGCAGTTCTTATTAGATTTTTATGCTATATTTTCTCCAACATTTCAAATTAAAATAAAACTTTAAAATAAGAAAAAAAATTAATGTTTATTATTAATGTGATCCAATCCATATGTCTGTTAATGACCACCGGGAAAAAAACCTCTATGAAATTTCAGAGAAATAAAGGAATTTTTTGACTTCATTTGAAAATTGCGAAATAAAGTTAAGGGCAGATTCTTATGACAATAACCTACAGCTATATATTCTTTATTCATTTTTTTTCCAATTTAAAATTCAATAAAATGTACAACAATAATCTAGTATCTATTTAGTATGATAAACTAATCACAAAAAATATCATTACTTAAAAACCATTAGTTATTATTGCGTATTATGGATTAAAAACTCGATGTCGTTTTCTAATATAAGAGCTGTGATTATATAACCTGTATGAAACACGGTCATTGTTGACAATTTTTATAGAAATGTTATAAATGAACGGTATCTGAGGTATCCAAAGCAACATACATTGCTTACAAAGACATCATCAACAGCAATCAATGTTCTGAATGTATTTTGAAAACTGAAATAATTAACATTTCATTTGGATAGACTTTGCAGTAAACATCTTGAAATTGCTGAAATTGCATAGATCTGCCAAATATTTTAATGTCACTCCAAAATGCACAACTTACAAGAAATAGTAGAGCAATTAGATGCTGAATAAAAATATTTGGTACTAATGTATACTTCAAATACCATTCTTGGTACATGTATTGGGCAACATTGTGTTCATTCCTCATGTCATGTAACAATAAATGACACATTTACTGAATTCAAACAAAATGCTGTGATCAGCAATATGACACCTCGTTACACATTAACCAGTCTGCTGCTGATGTATACAGAGTTCGCTCTCATACTTCTCTGCTTGTCGTCGTACTCATTTCTCCACAATATCACAAGATCTACAAATGATAACGGTTCAAGTAAAACTTGGCTACTGCAGTTTTCTGTCAATTTAAAACTCTCCTAATATGACATGCACACAACGTCCTTGTAAGCATAACGACGACAGAAATAAAAAAAAAAATTACAAGGAAAAAAAAAGAAATCTGTACAAAAATAATTTTATTCATTAAGTCAACAAAATTGCAAAATACATCATACAATCCCATTTAATTATATCAATTAAGCACAGAGGTATATAAATCTCTATGCTTTTTTGGACAAGTTAGAAAAGGATCACAAAGACAATGCTCAAAATATATGAAGTAAATAAATAAATGGTTATTTTGTAGTCATGTAAATATTTTACATCAAAATTGAACACAAAACTGGTTAATACAATTATGAGGTAAAACTAAGTAAGAAATTTAAACAATACAATTTCTTTGTATTTGTAATTTTGTGGGTACATCTTTTGTGATATTGCATTTTACCTTATCGCTATTCCAATTAACAAATAAATAAACATGTCTCAAAAAATCCCCGTGTTTTCATTATTGTCAGTACAATCTTTAGCTAGCAGAATAAAAGCCATTATGGGACGAAAAAGAATAAATCCTTGAGAAAATAAGTTTAAAAACAACCCATGATGACACTATATACTTTATCATAACCATTTGGATAATCTTTTTTTAAAAAATGTATTGGTGGGGAAATAAAAATGTTCATACATCAAAATTAATGTTAATCCGGGACAAAGATCAAAGCGCCTCCGGGCAGATTAATCATAAATTGAACAGGTGTCAAGGACTTCAGAGTTAAAGACTTGAGTAAACATTTATCTCTGGACGATGCAAATAATTGCTTAATTGATTGATAAATAACTCTATTGTAAATACTATGTAATTGTATGTAATTTGCTGTTTTGTACATTTTATTCAGTTATGTTGGCTTTCACCAAGACATCTTTCTGTGATATGGCGGAGCCTGTCCCCTTTGTTAATAAATCTGTTAAAGCTGCATATTTGGAGTTCCGTCTTATACATCAATAGTAAACACAATTTAGAATAAAGATATCCTAAGGGTAAAAATCCGGGGCTGTGCATATATTTTGCAGTAGCTTGATCCCGTGTACCTAAAACAAGCGAGTTTCTCTTTATGTGGACTTCTAGCATGATGATGGACAAAAGCCATTATGGACGTCACGGACTTTCCCCACAACGAAAAGTGAAAAACATCCACACCGTTTCACTATGTGCTTTAGATGTACAGACCTGGACACTTCGCCAAGGACTGCAATTTTCACATACTCTCAGAAGTCAAAGTCGCATCAGGTACGTGACCGACACAGAATTCTTTTTTTCCTGAAAAGGAACTTCCCTTTCACAACATTAGAGATTCGGCCCTGCGTAAGTTCATGAACTTTTCATATGTTCTAAAACATGAGCTTGCTAAAACAAAAGAAACTGTGAAAGACTTTCGGAACCAAATTTCAGTATTAATTTCAAAACTTAGGAAAACAGAAAGTGAATTGAAGTCTACCAAAAATCAAAATTCAGTGCTTCAAGAAACTTCCAAACAGAAAATCTCAGAACTCAAATATTTAAATTTTCAAAAAAAATTTCGACACAGGAACATCAAGGAACCAAAGAACTAAAAAAAAAAGAAGATTAAAACACATTCACAATGCGGAGTTTCCTGGTCGCTCAAGCAAAGAAATTCTTTTATGCAATGAACAGAAGCATTTTCTTCATTTATCTATACACGAGGTATATATATCTTTAATGTAGAGATCCTGTATAGTGCATTTTCTTTCTTTTGGGTGATTTGCAATACTCCTTCAACTTTTTTATGTCTAGTGGATTTGTTCTAGAGATACAAAGATGTTTTCACGTAAAAATACCTTCCATTGTTGTTGCCAATTGTAAAAGTGGGGGTGTAAAAAGAACAATCCCGATTATTTTTTGTATATATACTTAGGATCCAAATGTGAATTAACTTAAAATACTTCCGATTTCTCCCCAAAATAATTTTAGATATATATTTGCAATTATCATCATTGACTTTTGGAAAACATGAATCTATTTTTTGCACCATTGCCTGTGTAAAGTATGCATGACTTTGATGTTTTGGTTAGTGCTTTCTATTTCCGTGAAAAGATACACCTTTTTATTTTTTAGCTAGAGAGAGAGGTTTTATTCTAAAAAGTTTGATAGCACAGACAAAAGAGAAAATAATCGGTCCCATGATGTGTGGTATTGGTTCAGGCATCTATATTTCTCAATAGCGGAAAGCGTTGGGGAAAACATTACGATTATTACCAAACAAAATTATTGAAATAAACGGAAAAAACTAAGTATTTAAAATGAAGAATATTGAACCCATGATAATAAAGTTTTTAATTAACTGTCGAACAAAATCACGCCCCATCAATTCTTCGCGACGCAAATTTCGGTCAAAAGATTTTCTTGAAGTGTAAATGTAGGTGTGCGCGTTAAAACTAACAATGTCTGTCGACAAATGCTACAGAATGACAAGAGTATGCACTGTGTTCTGTATAGCACAATAAATTGATCCGACTCCTGAGATTACGATTCAAACAAGAGTACTTTTAGGGATCTATATCGTGCATACACAGCCAGAGGGCCCACTGCTGTAGAGTGATTCTATTATAGGTACAAGACCTGTACAAGTACAGACACAATAATCAGTTCTGTACAGATTTATCGTCCGAGATATTTATGCTATCTACGTACTGTGCGATATTTTCGGGTAATAAATTCATAGAAAATGGGCGTTATCTCACATACAAGTACAAAGACTGAAAATTCGTTTAGTCTTCGATAAAAATTAATTAGACTTTACATATTATACCCAACATGTAAAAAAAAAACTTCCTGAAAACATTCAAACGGTTTCCACATTTGAACGGCTTTCAGATTTTTGCAGCAAGTTACCATTCTGTTCACAATTCTTTTTCCTTAAGTTCAGCACGTCCTTCAGGGAGGACAAGGAAGTCCCTCTATTCTTAGACTTAAATACGGAATTGGTATCGTTTGATATGGCACCGAGAGAAAATTTTCTCTGATTATCACAGAAGCACCTTGTTTGGTGAATACCTATTGGGGAGATTTTTGCGTTTTTACCGCGCGACTTTTGGATTATGTCGCAACTCTTTCTTCTACATAGATTTTCCATGGATGAATTATTGTTGTTATTTTTAAACAAGTCTGTTTCGGATTTGGTTTTGGGCGGAATGCTAGGGCAGCACAAGAGAGATGACGTCATTGTGCTTGTCGTCTGCTCTTTGGGAGGAGTAACATAGGGATTCTCAGTTATATTAATTTGAATCTCTGCATAATCGTTTGACACAGGTGCAGAGAGAGTTCTTTCGGAGACAAATTGAGTGGATTCTGTCACTCCTTTCACAGCTGTGTGATCTTCATTCTGACTTGTTAAATAACAATTTTGAAGGTTTTCCTTCCCTTCAGTAGTCCGATCACAACATGGTTCGCATATTTTACGATTATTACAGAATTTCTGATCGTTATATACTTCTGCTTTGACTTCAATATTGTTAGAACGTTTTAAATCACTGTTTAAACTTTCATGGCTTACACTTGTCCTTTTTTCTGGAGTTTCCCCTCCGCTGTTGACACGTTCAATAGGCTCTGAAGCCATTGAAGAGTTTGTGGTGGAATTTGATTTTTGAGAAGCCGTTTTACTTCGGCGAAAACCTACTTGAGTTTGTGCGTCGACCATTTTGCATTTTCTCGGTCGCCGATTCTGTCCACAGTCTTTACTTTTATCAGTGAAAGAAACACGACTTTTTTTGTTTCTTCGCGGCACTACACCGATATCTGAATCATTTGATGACAGAGTATCTGGTGATTCTGAGGCCATGCGAAGTAATTTAGGGGATTCAGGCTGTGAAGGCGGTTTATTCAAACTCTTTAATCTCATATAGTTGTCTAGTGCCGGGACGATTGAAAATCTAGTACCAGGTATTTTTCGAGGTCTCTGTGGAGTTTGTTTACTGTTAACTATTTTATCGTTTTCAATGATATCTTTTTTATCAAAATTAAATGTCTTTCTGCCATGAGGACTTTGGAGGTAAGATCGATATGACGTCACTGTGTCGTACATTTGAGAGTCAATGCGGCTTTGGAGGGAAACATAGGCTGGCATGGCTGAATGAGCACGCCAAGGACTTTTGGGTACACCAGACACGTAAGAATTCACTGTGTCATAGTTAGACAGCGTCTCTGATCGTATATCGACATCGCTGTAGTCTGCGTCACCTTGAATTAAAATGACGTAATTGGTGACATCATAACTACATCCTCGCTCTTTAAACTTATGATCCTCTCTTTGCCATGTGCAGAAGCGCAATGATATCATTACAAGAAAACAGACTAAGGCACCAACAGGTAGCAACACTAAATTCACACCGGGTGCTTGATGCTCTTTTTTGGACTGATACCAGGTATTTATTTGAAATGAATCTAGTAGAGTGGTTCTATTTGACAAGCTTTCGGATTGGTTTGCTCGAGTGTTAAGCGAAGTATTCAAGGAATCAGCCGACTTGTTTGTTGAAATACTAGATGAAAATGTCCCATTTAAAGGCAAACCGTTTATAAACATTTCTTTTACTTGTAAAATCCATATGAATGCGATAAATAGCCATTTCAATCGTTGCAGCATACCACCCGCGGTCCAATAGAACACTCTATCAAGAACAGTATCTAAGAGTAGAGCATGGGTTGACAGTAATGGACTGCTATCAACTTCTATCTGTCAAAGGTTTCTCCACAACTCACTGTATCCAATCACACCGCTATTCATTAGATGCAAATTTCAGCAAAGAAATTGATCGTTTAAGGTGTTATCATTTTAGGTGAAATCCGGAAACTCCATGCTGTAACAACTTATTTTTTCTTTTCATAAGTACTGAACTTTTCTCTCCTTAACCCTACAAAAGAAAAACATTTTAAGTCATAAAGGTAACAAATATCAGAGCAAACCAACAGAAACAAGATAAAATACATGTATTTGTTTTCTATTTTACTATTGGTTTTAAAAAATAATTTACTGTTTTATTAAAACGCCTCCCAAATTCGCAGAGACTTAACAACTTGTAAATAGTTTAAACAACGATATGACTGTAACAAGCGGAAACACGGATTCTAGATTAGGTTTAACTTCTTTTATTGTAAAGGTAACAGGAGTGTCAAAAATGCAAAGCGAGATTAAAGTTAACCCTTTTTATGTTAATCAATCTTAACGACGACCAACCTTGGCCTTCCCTTCGAGTCTTAGGGGATAGGAATCGAATTTCAATTAAAAGAGTCTGTTACATTGGTTTTTAGTCCGAGATAAAGCGTAAATGACACTAACAGCTTAGTTCACGTCAGGCCATCCGGAGAGCTAGATAATGTCAGACAATGTCCTACCGTATGTTTGTAAGATTCACTGACGAACTCTGCAGGGGATTCCTATAACAATCAAATGAAATAAAGAAGTCCTTGAAATACCAAAGAGTATTTCAAACTTTTGAAATGCAGACACAATCAAAAAGACAAATCTTTAAAAAAAAATCAGAAGACCCAGAGTGATTTAAAGGTTGATTTCTCCCTTAAAAACTGTTCGTCAGGCAATTTTATTGCAAACATTAGAAAGTACACTGATTGTTCTGCATTGTACGTGGGATGTTTGCACGCTTGTTCTTTATATATACAATATAATCTAATGCACGTGCAGTGTTTGTATAATGACTAAGACGGGTATGCGAATCACTACAGTTAATCAGTTGTAAGCAGTGATTCTGCATTGTATACATTTTCTTCTATAGTTGCTTTGTTCCCGCGTCACAAAACCCCTATATGTCACTGCCCGTATGTTCAGACACCTCCTCATACAATTTACTTCGATTTTTAAAAGCAATACAAAATAGAAATTTGATGTATATAAAAAGAGTAATTTTTCAAGAAAACATATTTTCAGCACTTCAGGAATACTTACCTTGTCCCTATTAATAATGGAAACATTAATTCCTTTATCTTAGGTTATTTTGCACAAGCACAAAATATTCCCACTGTAACAAAGGCGACGCCTCACGTTCCAGATGATCCAACAAAAAATCTCACTTCAGTGCGTTCTGCACTGTGCAGTCAGTGAATCGAGACAGTGTGATTTTTTAATGATTAAGTCCCCAAAAATTACACAAGCCTCGAAGTTTTTGTTTGACGTAAAATCAAACACCCGTAACGGCGGTTATTTGCAAACATGCCATAAACCGCCAAATCAGCCGTCGAAGCCACCAATTGTTATCATTGTAACATATAAACACTAAGTCGTATACAGTCAAGCCGGTAAGGGCAATAGATGACAAGAAAACCCACAGTTTCCCGATTTCTAAGTCAATGCATCTCTGTCTTACGATGTTATGGGCCACGTGTTACAGTACAAGCGGATAGAGGAAGCCACGCACGTGCTCACTATAGCTTCTGTTACTATCGATGTCGCGCGCTATGTCCCGACACTGCATGTGTGAACGTCTCGGTGTACACAATACATTTAAAGAGATCACAGTTATGGGCTTCTTTTAAGTTTGTCTATTCTCTCACACTAATCATGTTATCTCGATGATATAGAGAATAAATTGTGATGAGGCACACATCTTAACTGCGTTTAACTGGATGACTCTTTGCGTTATCGAATTATGATGTTATTGAAATGAATCGATTCCAAGCTCAGAAGCAAACGTTTAATCTCGGGACGCTAATCGAGTTATGACCTTAAAACTAGGGAAATCTGGGATTATCGAGTAAATTTTGTCTTGATGCGCTCTATTTGTAGTTTGCAAGCCATGCTTACTAAATAGCATAAAGTAGATTTATTTTGATTAGTGATCTTAACTGCTCTTAAATTTACAAAGGCGTATCATACGTAATTTTGCTAGATTTGAAGAGTTTAAAAAACGATGATATAATGTTTAAGCTCATTACACAGATCCACTGCATCTAGTTCAAGATTAACTTAAGGAAGGTCAATTAACTTAATGAAGTAAATAGAGGTTGGATACTGTCAACCCACACTATTGAGTTAGTGATGTTTACATTAATATATTACTAACCTTTAAATAGGAATGAAACCGAAGTTTAATATCCGGATACAAAATGTAACATTGTTAGATCCGGAAGATTATGACAAAAATATTTCCCTAATAAAATGACGAAGGGCATGTCTTTATTTTGATTGACAGATCCGATGACAAAACACTTTCCCTTTATTGTCGGCTACATTTTTTTAAAAACAAAACATCAGTTATAAATCAGTTATAAAATCTACTTCCTAAGTCTAGGTAAGAATTGACGTCTTCCTGATTATAAGCTCGGAGGTTTACCTAAAGTTACTCACCTCCTTGGTTAACCCTATAGTCGACGAGCCAGGGGATTATCGTATTCCGTTTGTAAATGTTTAATTGTTAACAGATTTTTAAAACGAGTATCTATAGCCGTAAATTGTATCCTGTTGCTTTATATTCACGTGACCTCAGCTGTACTCCAGTATCGAAAGGTTTACAGCAGTATTTCTAAATTGTGCCAAAACAGGAAATCGCTTTGTTTCGATTCACAAACCACTGGCTTTAAATATTTTTAAAAATTAAATACTTATGATAATATCATAAATAGAGTGAACAATTGTTGTTGTAAGTCATTAACACAGTGGAATTATTTCAATGATCGGTTGTATAATCTATTTGACGTAGGGTTCATGGCACACAGCGTAACCTCTGGAATGGGGATCAGTACAAGGAAAGAGACAAAAGAAAAAAGAAAACCCAAGAAAGGATTATGTGAACGGTGACACTTCTGATATTCCTGTCGGTTATATAATAACATAATTCATAAGACTGTCTAGAGGCACCAGAAAACAATGCACCATCAAGTGTTTCAGACTTTATAGGTACCTGATTATAGAAATGACAAGCCCACTCTTCAAGAAAATATTTTAGTGTTTGACAAACACATCATGCAAGCTACCCATCATACTTGGTGACCTTGACTTACCCCTCCATTTCCCTGGTTTCTCGGTTTTCCCGCTCCCCGTCTATTGAGTAATTAATTAAGTAGTCTACACGGAGTGCGAGCTCTGACATACAGAAATTACTACCGCATGTTTATGAGAATTCTTTTTTACAACTCTTCCTTAACCCACTTCTGTTTGAGATGAAGCATTAATTATAGGGAAGATTTGATCCTTTGATAAAAATGAATACTTGTACAACGATGTTATGTCTAGTAAAAAGGTTTCATAATCTCTTATAGTTTCGAATATGTGATAACAACCACTACTTTCCTCTTAATGATAGTCTTTATTTCCTCGTCTTACAAGGCACGGTTGTAGAGCCCTATTTCCTCGTCTTACAAGGCACGGCTGTAGAGCCCTATAATGGTTAAACAAATTTGATAAATCTTAATGAAACAAAAACATTTTATTTGGGTACTCAACAAATACGGGAAAGCTAGGTAATAACTGCAATCTTATTTGCTTATCGATAGGTTAAAAAATAAATGAGGTAGATGAAAAATAAAGGCAAAGATACAATTATACTTATGTTTTGTTCATAATCTCAGGTAACGATATGCTCTTGGCAATGGATTGGGGGTATTAAATTCTGAAGAGAACAAAGTATACAAGAGGCCCATGAACTTTGACAGTCACCTGATTATCAAGTGACCTTTTGAGATCCAGTTAGAATGATCTGGACTAATGTTTCATGTTTTTTTGCGAGGAGTCATTGGGTAATGTCATATCCATACTGCTTCTTTTAAAAAGAAATTCAGGTATAAGGGGTTAAGATAAGGGAGATTACAGTCATTTCAATGTATGACCAACTTAGATCCATGAAATACTTGATTCCTGGAACCCGGAAACAGAGATCGGATATTTTTTTCAATTTTTTAAAGACATGGTTTTTCAATATACGAAGAACTAATCCTTGTCCTGGACCCTGAAGCCAACGGGCAATAATTTCACGATTTGGGTGGAGGTCTCTGTGTATTATAATTATACCATCAACTACTATAGTAGTATAAATGCTTTATACCTAAGAGAAAAGTAAAATGTATTTCAAGATAGTATTTTTTGTATGGATTTGGTCTTCAGGCCCCAAGGAGAAAGAGACCAAAATTTCTTTAACTCAACTTTGTTTCCCTTTCCCAAAACATTACAAAATTGATTGGATAAAACATTTGGAGATAATGGACAGTAATCAACATCAAAAGTCCATAAAACAAAACAAAATAGGAGCAGAGCATACAGGAACCTCCAAAAGATCAGAGGTGGGATCAGGTGCCATGGATTTGCTGACAAGGCCATCAAATCGACCATAGAACTTAAGAAATGATGACTTGAAACGAGACTGCTGATATTCTTGTTTCATCAACTTGTATGTCAATAATTTACCCCGTTTTAAAAATTGTTCATACGTAGACCATGCTCTTCCGTATCGAATCAACTGAGAGATATAAACTCCGTATGCAGGTGATTAAGGTATATTGCTGCATAAGTAAGGGAAGTTAGCGATAGAAAAGTTAAAGTCATCACGTTTTTCACAGAGTTTGGTTGTTAAATACCCGGTAGTAAAAAGTAAAATATCCATATATGAAACAGGTGTGTCTGACTCTGTGCATGGTATCTTCTATCTCATGGTATATTATAGTATCGAAGAATGGAAATACCATTGTTATTGACAATACGACGTCGATATATCTAAATGTCGAGTTGAAGGTCACAGCAAGCGTTTTCTTCTTTTCATGCATTAGATTTTATACAAATTCTGCTTCATATGAATACAAAAATACCTCTGCTAAGAACTGGGCGCAATTGGTACGCATGGGAATTCCAATAGATTGTTGGAAGACCTGGTCTCCAAAAACAACATAGATATTGTCAATTAGAAACTCAAGCATCTTTTTGATGTCAACTTCAGAGTACTTGTCTGTTCAATTAGAATGTTTTTTGACAAAATAATTTTGCATATAAGCAATGACAAGGTAAGTAAATTTACGAGTTTTTAATGAAAAAGGAGCTGTCAATGATATCAAAAAGCCTGGACTTTAATTTATCGTGGGAATGGTTGTGTATAAAGTTGAAAACTCGTAAATTTTTAAGCTGTTGATTTTGGTGAAATGTTGTGATTTCTAATTGTCCAAAAGTTACTTGGAATTTTTAAGTATCCACATCTGATTTACACCAATTCTTGAATATAGTGTTGCACAGTACCCTTGAAGTTTCGTTCCTCCTTCACAACTGTAAATATCTTAGTGAGGAGTAAAGATGAGGCTTGGTTGAACATTTATGGAACCCGATTTGTCTCTTTGTAAGGATTCTTATGAAGTTTCGTAATCCATGGTAATTCAAATTCATTTTGGTTCGTTGGGATATTAAAAATATTCAAAACTGACATACGATTTTGAAGATTTTTTTCCTTAGAAAGGGAACAACGAGTATAAGTTGGATTACCACTTGTAGAATAAATTCCAAGTTCTTCTAAAATACAATTCATATAATGAGTCTTACAAACAAAGACAATGTTGTTACCTGCTTTGTCAACAGGGACCAGTACGTACTGCTCATGTAATCTATCTAATTCTTTTTCACTTCTGGATTATTGAATACAGAGATAGAGTTTCTTATTGGAAACGACTCTATCGCGATTCAGAGAAGCTATTACTGTTCAATGTAAAAATGGGCCTTCTGAGTGACTCAGATGACCTAATATGCAAGTATCAAAGGGCAATGAGGCAAAGTGCTACCATAATTCACTTTTCATAAAAATGTCATTATGAGGGGTGAAATCATTTTATGTACATTTTAACTAATTTAGGACTGAAGTTTAGATTTAGACCTGAATAAGATATTAACCATGAAATATATGGAGATAAAGAAAAGTATTCAAGCTCAAAAGTCCATAATACAATACAATATTGGAGCAGAGCAAAAACGAATCTCCAAAACATCAGAGGCGGGTTCAGGTTTCATCGAGGAGTGAGCATCCCCTGCCGACCACTCACACCCGCCGTGTGCTCCTTGTCATGATCGGGAAATAACGGAAATATCCATCGACAATGCAGTGTGTATATAAAGGCCTAACACTTAAAACATTTAAACAAAACGAATTGTGATCAGTATTCGCAAAGGAGGATTTAGGATTCTGTTCCTACCAGTCTCACTGGGAGAGGACTATATAAGTTTTTGGAAATTGTGTCAAATCCCTCATACAAATTGTCAATAAAATATATTAACATTTTCAGTGAGACCTCTGCATTGATCATATAAAAAAAAGGCATATATGTATTTGGTTTAAAGCAACAACTTTTCAATTAGTATAAAACATGTAAATCGAAATAAACAATGAACGGTTTAATCATACATGTTAACTCTCCCGATTTAGGCGGGAGTCTACCGCTTTTTCACTCTATCTCCCGCCTACCGATTTAATTCAGAAATCTACCGCTTTTTACAAATGCTGCGTCTAAAGTATTTTTGGTTCGCTTGGGTATCCATTTTTGAAGCCACTCTCATAAAATCTCTCATTTGGGAGAGGACTATTTAAGTTTTTGTGATTACATTGGTGTCCGATAAATTAATCAACATCCTTGCCATACATATTGTCAATAAAATATATTCACATTTTCAGTGGGACCTCTGCATTGATCATATAAAAAAGGCATATTTGGTTTAAAGCAACAACTTTTCAATTAGTATAAAACTTGAAAATCCAAATTAACAATGAACGATTTAATTTGCAAAAAAAGTTATTTTAAAAACAACCAAAGATTTGACAAAATTCTGACTTTAAGAATGACATTTGAAGGTCAATTAACATCAGTTTATTTGTAAGTAGCCTTACTTGGTTTAAAAAGTTATTCGCTCTCAATGCATACTCTGAAATCGAAAAGTTGGGAGACAGAAACACCTACTGAAGGTAATATTGGAATATTACTTCATAAAAAGAGGAAAATGACGAAGGAAAGATAAGGTCTTTCCGTT